ACTTGGGTAGGCTTGATGGCTCAAGTTTTTAATCCCAGCACTTTGGTAGGCTGCGGTGAGAGGATTGCCTGAGCCAACAGGTTCAAGAACATCCTGGGCAATTTGGCGAGACCTCATCTCTAAAATAAACAAAAAATTAGCCAGGCATGGTGACGTGTGCCTGTAGTTCAGGCTACTTGGAAGACTGAGGCGGAAGGATCACCTGAGCCCAGCGGGTCATTCAACCTGGGTGACAGAGTGAGACTCCAACTCAAAATAATAATAATAATATAATAATACTACAACCTATGCAACATAGACCTCATTTCTACAAAAAAATAAAAATAAAAATAGCTGGGCAGAGTGGCATATTGCCTGTAGCTCTAGCTACTTAGGCAGCTGAGGTAGAAGGATCCCTTGAGCCCAGGAGTTTGAGACTGCAGTGAGCTATAATCATGCCATTGCACTTCCATTCAGGGGACAGAGCCATACCTTGTCTCAAAATAAATAAATAAAAGTAATTACTGATAAGGAGGACTTCTTTTATTTTGCTGTGTGTTTTCTGTATACCTTGTAGCTTTTTGTTTCTAATTTCCTGCATTAATCTTTAATATGTTTAGTTAATATTTTATTGTAATATGTTTAGATTTCATTCTAATTTTCTTTTGTGCCTATTTTATAGCTATTTGTTATGGTTGCCATTGGGATCATATTTAACAACCTAAAGTTTATAAAATTCTAATTTGAATTTATACCAATTTAACTTCAATAACATACAAAAACCCTACTCCTATAACAGCTCTGTGCTCTTTCTCCTTTTGGTTGTTGCTGTCACAAAATTACATGTTTATAATTTTTTGCCCTAAAACATAAATAATTCTTTTAAATATATTAGTGCTTTAAATTATGTAGGAAACAAAATATTGAAATTACAAATAAAAGCTAAAATAATACTAGCTTTTAAACTAATAATTTTTCAAGTGTAGTCTCTTAAATTATGTGGATAACAAAAGTAGAGCTACAAATTGTTACAGTATTACTAGCTTTTATTATTGCTAGCATTTAGCTTTATTGAGATCTTTATTTCTTCATATGACTTCAAGTTAGTATACAATGTCCTTTTTTTAACCTATAGGACTCCCTTGGGTATTTTTTGTAGGAAAAGTCTAGTGGTAATTAACTCCCTCGGCTTTTCTTTATCTGGGAAGATCTTAAGTGGGGAGGTTCTTTATCCAGGAACCTCTCCTTCACTTTTGAAAGACAGTTTTTGCTGGTTATAGGATTATTGGCTGACAATTATTTTCTTTTAGCATTTTGAATTTTTTGGTCCACTGTCTTCTGACCTTTAAAGTTTCTAATGAGAAATCTGCTAATCTTATTGAGGATCCCTTGTATTTGTTGAGTTGCTTCTCTCAATTCTTTCAAGATCTTCTCATCGTCTTTGTTTTTTGAAAGTTCGATTATTGTATACCTAATCCTGAATTGTACCTCACATCTTTAAAATAAATGACTAAATAATATATATGACACAGAAAAAATAAAAAAGTTTGATTATTGTGTGTCTTGGTGTGAGTCTTTGAGATCATTTTACTTAGAATTTCTTAAGTTTCTTGTATGTTTGTCATCAAATTTGGGAATTTTTTGGCTATTATTTTGCCACTTTCCTGTTTCTTTATATGCATCTGATTTTTGGAAAAAATGGACATTTGAATCTAATAATATGGTAACTCTGGAAATTAGATTCTTTCTCTTCCTCAGGATTTGCTGAGATTTTTTGTTTTTGTTTTGTTTTTAATTGTAGGCTGTCTCTGCGACAAAGATCAGGTGGAAACTTACTGTTTTCTCAGACTTTTTCTAAGCCTACACTTTTCCATGGGCATGTGCAGTCACTTTCTACTTCTCCCTGTATGTGAAGTTGCTTTTGAGTATCCTAGTCTTTTACATTTGTCTCTCAAAAGAGGAAAAAGAGAAAAATGAAGGGAGGCACGTAAAAGGAAAGGGTGTTGGCCCTTTATGTCCCTGAAAGTTCCTCCAGTCAGAGTGGATGAGCTTGCAACAGCGGAGCGGGTATAACAATAATAGATGCAAACCTCTCTGCCTCTGACTTTGTGATTACAAGCAGTAATCAGCAATTATATGGTATAACTCTCTGAAATTTAGAGGCAGTGTCCATTTTGTCTACCCTTGCTCTTGTAAAGTACATGTATGCTCCTCCAGGAATTTGTGCACAGCTGCTTGCAATAGAATAGGGTTGGGAGCAGGGGATGGGTAACTACCATTTTGTAAGAGCTAAAATGGCCAAAATGAACTGCAGTTTTACATCCAAGCCTTCCCCTGTAAGTTGCAAGCCTTCAATAGACAACAGAATTCCAAAATAGTTACACCAGATACATTCTGCTAGTACAGTTATCTAGGTGGAGAGACAGACTGGTGCTTCCTAGTCTGCCATCTTTCCAGAATCTTCTCTTTACTATGTGTTCTTGCATATTGTTTACCTTTTCAGCTAATTTTAGAATCGCTATTATAATTGATTTATATTCTTTCTTGTTATTTTTACATCTGACCCATTTCTATGTCTGTTTTATTTTATTGTTTCCTGTCATGATCACATGTCACATTTTCTTACTTCTCTGTGTGTTTTGTGATTTTTTCACATAAGATATGTTATATGTGAAAAAAAAATGTTATATAAAAGATAGTTGGCTTATCTCCTCTTCTTTTAGTCTGTTAGATTGGAGGACTGAATCAAGCCGATCCTTATTTGAAATAGATCTTGTTTTTGTGACAGCTTTAATATGATTGAGTTTATCACTGCCTTTAAATATTTGGAGGGTAAGTTTCTGAGATTTCCTTCACAGGGAAAATTAAAGACTGGTGAGATGTCTTTGTGCTTTGCCATGAAGCCACCAGTCTTCTGGACTGAGGGACGGCACATTCTCGCTCTCTGCTTCACAGCCTGGTTACTCTTTCTCATTTTTTTTTTTCCAGTTCTTTCCTAGCTTTCTTTGTCTTGGGAGAGCTCCATTCTGTTTGCCCTGAGAGGTTGCTGTGTTATACTTTATGAAGGTCTGGGATGTCTCAATGAGATATCTCTCAGCTTTGCTCTGCCACCTCCTGCCTTTAGAACGGCCTGAGTGCCTCAGAAGGAGATCTCTCAATTTTTCTGTCCTCCTTGTTTTACTGCCCTGATCCCATTCTAGGGGGATTAGCTACCTTGTGCTAAGGGGAGGCTCCCCATACTTCATAGTTTTCTCTCTCTGTTCTCCTTCTCTTCCCAGCCTTTGGTATACTGATTGAATATACTTGGTGAATACCTGTGGGAATCAGTTGATGGTTGAGTGTCAAGTCTCTGCTATAAGGTGTTCCTTGTGATTTTGGTTTGTCACTTTAGTCTACATGCAGTCATTCAAGGTTTGACTGGTTCCTCCTTTCCCTGTCTAAGGTAGATTCTTTATCCTCTTTTTTTTTTTGAGTTGGAGTCTCACTTTGTCACCCATACTGGAAGGCAGTGGCATGCTCCCAGCCACCACAGCCTCGACCTGCTGAGCTCCGGCGATCCTTCTGCTCAACCTTCCAAGTAGCTGGAACTACAGGCGCGTGCTACCACACCTGGCTAATTTTTAATTTATTGTAGAGATGAGGTCTTGCCAAGTTGCCCAGGCGGATCTCAAACCCGCAGGCTCTCAAAGTGCGAGATTACAGGCTGAGCCACCATTATCCTCTTGCATCTCTGCCAGGCATCCACACATGTATGAGTTTCTTCTGTCTCACACTTTCTGAAACCTGTTTCCTTTGGGTTTCTTTTCACTCTTAATTCTTTGATTTAATTTTTAAACTATGATTTTGTGGTTAATCTTATTTTGGTTAGTGTGAGAGTGACTGTTAACATGTGAACTGCCACTTAATATCTGAAGAGTTTCTAAAAAATATATTCAATGACACTGCTTTCCTAAATAGAGAATGTATCTTCATCAACTTTGCATTTCTTGTAACATTAACTATAATATTAACTTATAATATTAGCTATATATTGTATTTATTTAGTACCAGTTACCTTGGTGAGCACTGTTCATTGTAACATCTCACTTGCTGTCCACAAACTTGAGAATATATATTATTATGTACTTCCTATTTTTCAGCTGAGAGACTAAGTAGGTTGGTCAGTATTACATAGTCAGGTATTGATCCTTTTGAGCTCAGGGTTGTTCGCTTCTGAGACAGCATTTGCTATCAAAGATAGCACAGGCGTGTAGTATAAATTAGTAAGCAAGAAGGGTATAAGAAAAATAAAGCAACTTGCTTGATGAATTACAGTTAATTCTCAGCTTAGATGCTGGAACATAATAAAGTGTAATCAGTTCTGTAGAAAACTGTCTTGGAGAATACATGCCTCATTTAAAGGCAATGGTCATGTCTCAGCTGCAACCAGTTTTGCCATGTGAGAATTATGGGCCCGTTACCCAATTTTTGACTTTTCAGTAGAAGCTAAAATATTTTTCATATGAAATCTCTCAGCTTCTACACATTGGCTGCTGGTTCAAATAAAAATAATATAAAATCCAATGTGCAGACCTACATGGTGAGTCTGAAACTAAACATGTCTCTAGGCCCATCCTGATCTCTGGGCAGTCAGTTTATAATGTCTGTAATAAGGCCTAAGCTCTTTTGAACTGTTAAGTCATGCTGTCTCTTAGAACTTAGTTCAATACCTTCCTTTTACATATGTACTAAGTAAATTAAGGATGTGAAGACCTAAGTCTTCACTTGAGTTGATTGTGTCTTATTCACTGCTTTTATGCAGTTGTACCAGTTTAGATATAAACTTTACAGACAATTCCTATATATGTAGTTTTTGAAATCCTGAATTCTTCACTTAACTACCTTAAGCAGTAGAATTCTAATATAAGGCATGTCTTACTTTAAGTTGATATGAGGGTCTAGCTCTTATGAATGCTTAGTTTATTTTTGTTCACTAATTATGACTTTATTTCCCTCTCTTGTCCCTTTTTCCTGTGGCACAGCTTTCACTTTCAGAAGAACAGAATGAAGTAACAAAAAATGGCTGTGAATCTAAAGAGCTGGTCTACCTCGTTCAGATTGCTTGTCAGGTAATTTTGTGAATGTATTCTTCGTTTCACACAATTTCTACAGTGTGTTTCACCTAAAGGACTATAATCCATGGAAAAATACTTATATAATAGTGAAATGAGATTGTGCTATGATGGCAGTTATAAGATACTAAATGGTAACCTTTTACAAAGAGAATTGGTGTTTTCATACAATACTACATGGAATGACAGTTTAGTCTTGCAACTTGTATATCTTCTGTTTGCACTTGTAGAAAATTTTTAAAGCCTAGATGCTTATGCATAAATAACAGTCACTGTGGTAACCAAGATGTTTTATTCTTTATAGCAATCATATTGACATTTCTACATGTAATTAGGGTTTAAAGCAATAAATGTAATACAAATAGTTGTATAGATATTTAAACCTTAAATGAAAATACTTCTTGTAAAACTAAAGGAAGGATATCATTTATTAATCATTAGATTACATGAGTTAGCTATTGATCACATATTATAACATGAGTAGACTATGATGTCTCTGCCTTAGATGCACACTTTTTCTAATCAAGACAATAAAATATTCTTACACCAACAGTAGGGGATGTGCATGTTTTTGAAGCTTGCTATTTCTTGATTATTAATATTAGAATTTTTTTGAGGGTAATTGCCATAACTTGCTCTTAATGATATTTAAAATATGTCATTTGTAGCATTGATTTCCTTTGTCATGTAAGCATTTAGTATAGTTCTTTTATTTATTCTTCATTTATTGAGCCTTCTGTCCATTAGCGAATTAGTCATCATAAAACAAGTGTTTGGGATTTCTTCCATACAAAGTTGTTAGTTTTCTTTGGAAGAGAGTAAGATAGGGGCACTTACTGTTCTTCTCACAAAGTATCAGTCATGTACCTGAAGTTAAAAATTGAATAATCTGGAAAAGTTCAAGGCAATATACTGAAGTTCTTAGTTCTGGTTACCTTAAGGAAAGCCTTTAATTAAGTGCTTTTATTTTTAGTTGTCAGAATATGAGATTGGAAATCACATTTAGATTGCATATGAATAATACAGCCAAAGTCACATACTGTTTATATATGTTTTATTGCATGTGATCTCGGTTTCTTTGAGGAAGTAGAGTAAATCACTAAATTTTATGTCATATTTTATAAAATGCTTTTATTTGGTGAGGTAATTTTACCTCAAGTAGCTGTCAAGTAATTTTATGGTAAGTTATTACTAATAGATGAATGGAAATCATATCTTCTTTATCTAGAATACATAGTTAGCACATCAGGAATGAATTTATTAATCTTTCTACAACCTAACACATTTTAGCACCTCTTCTTATCATTAATTTACATATACTCTGAGAATGCAGATATTTTTATTCTCATAAGCAAAACGTGTCAAAAATATCTGTGCTGTTTTATAAAATGACTTTCAAAGGACAAGCATAGCATTTGGGTACCAAACTTTAGGATGTATAATTGTTACTTGATTGTATTTCCATGTTTAGTATTAGTATCCTAGATAGGTAGTTTCCTGGTTGTAAATAGCTTGCCAAGCTGCTTAAAATATTTCAGATTATTTGGTATGCTATTTATTACATAAAAGAAGTGATTTATTGCATTGTAATAATGCCTTTGCACCTGTTCTTTGTGTCACTGTAAATAATCATTGGTGCTGGATTCCCATGGCTTACTTTTGTATTCTTACCATATATGCTAGCCACAAACCATATTAAACTAGAATCATATTTTTTTAATAACTTAGAGGAACCCATATTAAAACTCTCTAGTTTTGCAATTGAAGAAACTGAGGCCCAAATTACTGAAGTGGCTGTCCTAAGCTAGATCAAATGTTAATAGCAGGAGCTGCTAAGAACTTGGTTTCTTGGCTGTCAGCTTTTTCTGTGTCTTCTTGGAATTTTCAATCTATAACAAATACGGAAAATTTTAAATTCATTCACATATTTTATATTTGCTCATTTCTAATTTTTGATAATATATACTTAAAGTTCTTTTTATTTAATCCAGGTTCTTGGTCCTCTAACATAACTCTTTCTTCTCTTGTTCTTAGTTTATAAAAGTGATACATTGAATGGCTGTGATTTTTTTCTTTCTGTAGCTTAAATGATACTGATTTATTTAGGTCTTTGCATGACTTCATTGGGCAAAGGCGCGCGCGCATGTGTGTGTGTGTGTGTGTGTGTGTGTGTGTGTGTGTCTATAAAATCTTGAGCCCTGAGACAGTCCAACTGTGCACAGTCCTAGACCAAAGACTGTAGTCTTCATGATAGTAAAAATATTTAACATGTATGTATGTCATGGGCCCAAAGCAATTCGCACTGATACAAGTCATACAAATCCCATTTAGCCATATCAGTGTATCATAGCGGAATATTAACCATGGATTAAAGCACTGTCAGACACTTGAAGAATAGCACTATAATGCCTTCTCTAAGCCCCCAGTTCCCTCCTTCTTAAACTAGTTATTTAGAATCAGTTATCTTAACTAATAAAGGCATGTTGTGCCTCAGATATTCCTTAACTTATCTTTTATTCTGTTCTCTCAGGAATCAAACAAAAGTATCTGTTGTATAAAACCAGCAGATCAACTACTGTGGATGAAGAAACACTCTTTCCAATTTGTGTCATGATGTTGATCAGGGTGGCAATCCTTTTCAGTCTATATTTTCTTCTGAAAATCATGCTGCTTTTTCCTCTGTATATCCCATACTTCTCAAGAAAAGTATTGTATTTTGTTTGAAATAGATGCAAATTAATAAAAATCCTAGTAATTGCAGGAATATGTCGTGGTAGTTATAGGAAGAAAATCGTACTGTCTCGTGTTAAAAATTCAATAATGTAGAAAAGACCAAACTTAGATAAACTGACACTAATTATATTGAGCCACCCTGCATAGAAAACAAATTTGCAAGTTTAACAGCAATGTTATTGAGTCTTAAAAGCATTGTCTTCTGTTGCTTTATTCTTTAGCAAATAAGTAAGCTTCGGCTTTTAAGTGTTAATTTTAAAATGGCAAATTTAAGCCTAGCTGCTGTGGGGATTTATTCTAACATATGCTTTCATGAAAATGCTGTTTTAATCTTTTTCCTCTGTAAGTATAGTTTGTTGGTATATGAATAATTGTTGCTCATCGAAACACTTGGTATTTTATCATTCCATTGTCAGCTTTAGAGTAGTTGACATTAATGGTTCTACTGAAATTATAGTGTGTTAACTACTACCTTTGTATTTTAAGAAGAATTCATCAATATTTAATAGTTTGTTTTTCTGAAGATCAAATATTTTATAAGTATTTACAATAATCTGAAGGCTCCTTTATGTTATGTTAAGTCTCCTTTATGTTAGGAAACTAGTTGCTTTCAGAATGCTTTCCTGCCTCAAAATATCTCCTGTATTTTGATGTTCCCATGCTTGAAATTCCACCATCAGAAACGCATTCCTTCATATTAAATAACTCCTTCTCCGTTCAATTCATTTAGAAAATGCTGTTACTATAGGAGTAGGGGATGAATATTAGCCTTGTAGAACATATGTGTATGAACAAAATATATACACAGATTGCCAACATTCTTATTTAAATCTCACAATGCTTCTGTGAAATGTAGATATTGTTATTTACATTTCATAGATGAGTAAACTGCTGCTCATGTTAAGTAACTTATTAAAATTCTTTACTTAGGATAAGGCCAGACGAGACATAAATCAGGGCTTTTTTCGTCTTTTTTCACTGAACTTTATACATTTAAAGAATCATTAACAACATCAGTTCTTTTCGGAATAATCCCACAATTAAAGAAACTTACAAGGACATGCACAAAGACTGTTTTTGAAAGAAAAACAGCTGCAACATCTAAAATGTGTCTATTTCTTTCCATCTCTATTGTTATCAAGCTAGCTCAAGGATTATCTCTTGTTTGGGCTGATGCTTATACCCTATAATCTGTTGTAGCCCTGTAAGCTGCCTGAATGATATAAATGTAAATTGAATCTTGTTACTCTCGTGGTTAACACTCTTGACTAGATTGCCACTGCATTTAGAACTAAACCTAAGCTACTTACCAAGGCCTATGAGGGTCCTACACAATCTGAACCTTGCCTACCCCTTCTGCATAATGTCACAACAATCTCCTCACACTCATGCTCTAGCTTTCAGGTAGTTTCTAAAAGGCCTAAGTTATTTCCTGCTCCAGGCTTTGAACATTGATCAGCCTGTGACTCTGTTTACACTGTGCCCTTGCTGTGTCTGGTACCTTCTCAGTTTTTAGGACTTATTTTAGATAATGTCTCCTTAGAAAAAGCTTTTCTTGGCTTGGTGCAGTGGTTCATGCCTGTAATCCCGGCACTTTCTGGGGCCAAGGTGGGAGGATTGGTTGAAGCCAGAAGTTCAAGACCAGCTGGTCAACATAGTGAGACCTTAATCTCTACAAGAAGGGGGGAAAAAAGAAGATACAGAAAGACCTTATCAACCTATATGAAGTAGGTTCTTTGTATGTATTTGTTTACCATCAAAAGTATTTGTTTTTCTTACTAGAAATAAACTTTAAGAAGTCAAGGATCATGTTTAAGATTTCTCTGTTGCATCACTGGTACTTACTCCAGTGTTTAAGCACTGTGTGGGTGTTCAGTAACTATTTGGTGAATGAATGACATTCTTGTCATAGAATTTTATCCTACATTGGGATATATTTCTCTCATTCTTTTTCCTCAGCCTTATCAAGAAGATTTTTGTCATCCTTGAATAGTAGTAATTGGTGGTAATAATTATTAAGATTAAAAATTAGCAACCAATTAATATGTAGGCAGAGATATAAAATGAAGAGTTTCTTTTGTTTCTTTACAAAGTTATTGAACTTCTGAATTACTGTGATAATTTACTTTATTCAGTTTGGAAATTGAATAATTAGGTTTATAGTTTACATAGGAAATGTAAAATTATTGTCTCATATCTGCTGAAAATACAAGATACTTGCTAATTTTATAATTTTACTCAGTTAATTTAACACATTTTTAGAT